CCAAAGTCCGCGGACCCCTGGCGACCGAGCTCGCGACTGTGGCGGCCGAGGAGGCAGCGGCGCGGGGAAGGGTCGGCGGCAGGCAGTGGCGACAGCAGCGCAGGCGGCGGCCAAGTTCTGGTCCAGCCTCTGGCTCCGGCTCCGGGCTCCGGGCTCGGCCGCGTTTTCGGTCTCCTGGCCTCCGCCGGGCCCCGCCCCCCACACTTCCGGTTCCGGCCCGAAGCTAGAAACTAGGCGCAGCGGAGAACGCTCGGCGGCGGCGGTGGCGGCGGCAGCGGCGGCCGGGCGCAGCGCGCGAGGAGATTGTCGGGGAAGCGAGGCGGGAGCGGGGGAGGGGTGAGAGCGAGGGCGGGGCTGACTGGAGGGCGAGGAGGCGGGGCGGACGGAGGCTCGATAACGCGAGGCCTCGGCGTCCGGCCTGCTTGGTCGGAAGATCCCTCGACAAAGGGGCGCGGGTGCCTCAAAGTCTCTGGGCCTTGGCAGGGCTGTAGGTGGGCGGGGTGGTTGCGGCCGGGTACCTTGCACGGCTGTTGTCCAGATCGCGCCCAACTGGACTCTCTGGAGTGCCCGCCCAATCGTTCAGGGACAGTCCTGGAGGAACCCAGGATGGTGGACGGTGACTCCAAAGGGCGTCTGCGGCGCCCAGCCCTTCCTCTGGGGGTCGCCTAGTCGCCAGCACCAAGTGGGTGGAATCCGCGGGTGGGAACCGGTCTGCCGCGCCCTTGAAGCTGCCAGAGGGAGCTCGGGACGCGCGAGCTGGCGTCCGCGCCCCCAGCCTAGGCGATGCGACCTATCGCTGTGACTTCTATCTCAGCGTTTTGTCTTGCATCTGAAAAACTAATCAAGAAAGACCTGTCCGACGGGTTGGGATATCCACGCCAATTATCGCAATGTACAATTTGAATCCTTTTCCACCATACCTTTTGTACTCAAAGCGTTGTTTTGAAAACGGTTCTGTACGTAATGGATTCGCAGATATGTGTGTGTCACGCTTTGAAGAAACACCTGAAGGTTTCGATCGACATACCCAATGGTCAGATAGGTGTTTACTTTTTAAATTTTTAGCTCTTTTAGGCCCCAAAAGACATATAATCCATGTTGTTTGCTTATAAGGTGCTGTGTTAGGCACATAATGGAATCCAAAATGTGAAAATAGGATTTCTACCACATGGAGCTCAGGGTATATACTATATTGGAAGTTGACTACAGAATACACATTAAAGGCTATTAAAGTTAACTAGCTCTGTCTTTTGCCACATGTTAGTGAGCTAACGTTAGAGATCTTGTCTTTTTCCCTATTTTTATCTCAGCACGGAGAAGTGTCTGGCATAAGTTCTTAATAAGTTAAAGAAAATTATAAATTATAATTTATAAATTATAAAGAGTAACTGACCTCTTTCTTAAATACAAATATCTTTACATCTACTTTTTTTCAACAACTGTACCGTAAGCTAATTGATATTTTACTTAGGATTTACCAATTCTCACATTTTTCCACAAAACTCAAGCCTTCTCTTCTCACTTTTATTTATACTGTTTTCTTTTTCTCTTTCCTTAAATTACTCTGTATTTCTGTCTATTAAGTTCATCCTGTAATTATCTGCCTAGTTCTACCTCTTGTCAGGGTTATTAATAATCATTGTGGCTCTTTAAACTCTCTCCAAGATTTCCAGTTCTCAAGTTGTGGTGCTCAGAATTTGACTGATATTGTGCAACAAAGTTCCAAGTTAGTCTTTAAGGTGTCCGTGATCTCATGCAATTCTGCAGCTTTTATGAGCTGGTCAGAAGAATATGTATAAAACTTCCATTCTTTGGTTGAATTCAGAGTTTCCACTGTCCATATGGGAAAGTGCTTTTTTGATTTAGAACCACTTTCAGTCCATTCAGGAATTTGATGTCACTTATGCCCTGGATACAGGCCCTACTGTTGTCTTATCACTGCATCACTTCAATATTCTTGTGTTGTGAAACCAAAGCAAGTGGAATAACTGGAATAACCAGAAATGGAACTGAAACTTGAAAACATATTGCTTATCTTCTTACCACTCAAATTTGTCATTATAAGAGAATATGAAGATTATTTTTCTGTAGTACTTAAGAGGAGAAACAAATCTAAATCTTCACTAGAATATTCTAACAGTTAAGTAACCCCATGAGAGAAGTTATTAACATCCAGTAACATTAGCTATATATCTACTCCTACATCTATATTCACTCCTCCCTCTGCTTTTTTTTTTAATTTCAAAAATAATAGCAAAACCACAGAGTATGTGACTAATTCCCACTGGAGTTCCAAAGCTTAAAAAAGATAAAGGTAGCTACAGCTAATTATACTGCCCTTCTTTCCTCCCTATTTTCTAAGGAAAAAAATTGTGTGTGAGTGATGTATGTTTGACATGGTATCCCCCTGCATTGCTCAGGCTGGCCTCAAACTTACAATGCTCCTGGCTCTGCATCCCACATAACTGGGGTTACAGACCCCTGCCACTGTGCCCCTTCATAGAATCCCTTTTTGGAATCCACAAATTGAGTACTTTCCTAACATTGTACAAGATGTACAACCTGATTTGGGAAGAAAAAGAAGGAAGGAAAGGAAACAAGGGATTTTAGTGTACTAGAACATTTGATGTTATGAGATAAATAGATTCAGTTAATGACACTTAATCCTCACACCCAAGATCTAACCTTGTTACCAACCCAGTGTTAGACTTTCAAGTTCTAGAGTCCTGCTAAGAAGTTCAACTGAACCACAAGCTAGTGTTGTAATAATCTTGAGAAGATGGTTCAATCTAGACAGTAAAGTATATTTTAGTTGGATGAGATAGTGACACAGAATGCTTAAGAGTAAAAGGTGATTTTGTTTTTGAATTAATAACTTATGTGGCTCAAAAAGATGGACAAAGTTTCAATTCTGAAGTAGCACTAGAATTGAACTGAGCTAGAATTGAATTTGCCCTGAGATTGAGTATTAGCCATTTCTGGAGAAATTCACCCTAAGAATTCTCTTGTTTTGGGACAAAGGACTAATCTGAATATATCACTGAAGCAAGATGTCAAATCTCTTCATCTTCAGGAAGATACATGACTGAAAACCTTTGGTGTATGTTAGAAGGTTAAATTCCCCTTTGAAGTATTTCTGCCGTTTCTAGCTACTACAAAAGTTTACAGCTATGTTCTCATAACACAAGCATTCCTGAAAGTGACACAAATTTCTTCTATACCAATGCTCTAAGGCATAATAGGTAAGGAATAAACTTGGTAACTTTGTAAGTCAAAGGAAGACAGATAATGATCAACATATATTTTATGAATATCTTCTCTTTATGCGCCCAAGGTGAAAAGGAAACCCCACACAGTAGCTTTTGCTTTATTCTTCCCCTTTTGTTATGCCCAGCAATAGCAACACTATGCCAATGGGGACAACAAAACATACTGAGGAGAATGAGGATGCGGGATTAGATAAAAGGCAAAGCAGTGAGATAAAATATTTTAGGGCAAGAATGTAAGTAGAGTTAAGAGAAACTAGTTGTGACAGAAATAACATACTTAGCACTTTGATAAAAGGCTATAGTAATCCATCCAGAAATGTAAATATCAACAATCAATTGGTTTCTCTGTAACATTGCATAAGCAACATGTTACTTTTTCTCCCCACTATCATCTCCTTCAAAACCCAGTATGAGAAACAAAAATAACAAAATTAATTTGAAAGGATTTTTTTTGAGAGAGAGAGAGAGAGAATTTTAATATTTATTTTTTAGTTTTTGGCGGACACAACATCTTTGTTTGTATGTGGTGCTGAGGATCGAACCTGGGCCGTACGCATGCCAGGCAAGTGTGCTACCGCTTGAGCCACATCCCCAGCCCCGAAAGAATGTTTTTTTTTTCCCTCCCTCCAATTTATATTGATTACCACAGTACTCAGTTTTCCTCAGGAACTAAGACTCAACTCCTCCCCAGACTGAAAAACCAAAGTGCCTACTCTAAAACTGCTGAGTGGCTGGCAGAACCCCCGTCCCTCAGTGGTTCTGAATTGTGGCATCACCAACCCTTCCCTCAGCAGCTAGAAATGTGTATGGGGATGGAGGTTGGAGTCTGGCAAGGTGTAGGTTTAGACAACAACTGGTAAGGGTGGTGCTACTAGCTTTTAGGGTACCAGGATTAGGATGTTAAATTCCCTTCAGTAGGTTGATTAGTTCTACCCAACAAGTAGTATAGCACATTCGACGCCCTGGGCTCGATCCTCAGCACCACATAAAAAATAAGTAAAATAAAGAATTTGTGTCCAAATACAACTAAACAATATTAAAAAAAAAAACAATGAATTCCATCCATTTTGACAAAATGATTAAAATCTTAACTAAAACTTTGACCTTTTAGTACTGAAGTTCCAGAAAGCAAGATTGCATAAGGGTCAGTCATTTTCAATATGACTTTGTCCATCTTTACCTGTGATATTCATTTATTCCAAAATAAATTTTTAGGTATAGGATTTGTACTAGGTAATGGATGAAGTAATAGATGAAATAAATATAGTCTCTGCCCTCACTGAACTTACAATACCATGAAGGAGACAGAAAAAATAGCCAGTAAACAAGTAACTGTCAAAATGGGAGGGATTATTTTGATAAATGGAAAGAATGCTGAGATAAAGAACAAGAGTAGTAGGATAGGGTAGAAAGAGGGGACTTAGTTAGAGTGATTCAAGAAGGGCTTTCTAAGAAAGTAGCACTTAAGACTGAAAGCTGAATAATGAAAAGGAGATAGCCAAGAAAGAAGTTAATGAAGAAGAAACAGTAAGTACAAAACTTAGATTGTATTTAAGACACTGAAACAAGGCTCTCATG